GCAAATCATGACACCCATCTACATGCTTATGAAAATTACTACCCCACTAAAATCTAACATCCTTCAAGAATGATTTTTACCTCTCAAAAGAACTGGAAAGATTTGGGCCATGAAGGAAGGAGGTAATCAGCAATACCCCCAAACCCATTACTCTCAGGTTTTAAACTTTCCCTTTTACCATCTGACCTTGGAAAAAGACATGGTGACACATTCAAAGCTTAAGGTGGAAGAATTCCAGATTCCAGAGAATAGGAAATCTGTGTACCAATGATGTGCCAAGAACAAATGTGGATTGTCTGAGGGTCAACAGTTTTGAAAAAGTAAAAAGAAGGAACTTCTAAAATGCAGGGTGGATTCTTTTAAAAGAAATAAAATCACCGCTCTTGACTCACTTAATCCTTCGCCATGTTGCTGTCAGCTCACCAACTAAGAGTGCGAGAGTGTGTGTCTTGCTGGGTCCATTTTCCCATGGTCTGTAGAAGGCGCTGTGAAGCACATCCTGTTCTAGCTCTGGGGCCCTTCCCCCCTCTGCAGCCTTACCCAGTGCAGGGAATGCGCCCCCTACTGACTCCAACACTCATCGCCTTTAGCCGACTTGGCTGCGGTGCATTTTGGGTGGGGGCTGGTATTTTCTTGATGGCCATAAACCAGAAGCAACAATGCAGATTTATAAAGAAACTGTATCAAGCTACCCAGGAGTTGCCCCCCCCCCAATCTTGAAGGTTCAAGACACTGGCACGAGAAGCATCAGGGACAGGAATTGGGTGTGTGGGGATGGACAGCATTAAAATGGCAAACACAGGAAACAGTTTGGTTCTTTTTCCCTCCTAAGCCTTTGTCTGAGAAATGGGGTTATAGCAAGAACTGCCCAGAGGAACTGGTGAATGCAAGAACATCAAGAAGACTTAGTGTGGCTAAAAAAGATAATAGACCTTAGCGCCTGATCTTGGGCAGAAGAGGAAGAGAAGCAATCGCGCCTTTTCCAGCAGACAGGCATCCAGGTTGGGGGGGAGGGGAGGGCAGGCAGGCAGCCCAGAGGAAAGAGAGGTGAATAAAAGGGTGCTCAAAAACTCCTCCCCATTCATTGCATTTAAAAAAAAATCTTTTCGCAGCTTTCTGGATTGCCATTTTTTACCACCTTATTGCAAAGTTGGGGTTCAGAATGTTCGAAAGAGGTCGCGCTGACCAGGCAGCTGCGACTGAGAAAAGGGGGTGGTGGTGGACTCCGTGGTTAGGAGGGGAGCTGGCATGTTGGGGAGGAAGGGTTGCACGGCGGAGGCAAAGACTTTCCACTCTGTGCCATGCATGCTCCCCGCCCCCCAATCTGTCCCCCCCTCCCCCAGCTAAGGATGGGTAGACCTGGCAGAAGGCTCGTCCCAGGCACTGGGGGTGTGCGTGGGGGGCTCGTTTGGGGGGGGGGGCGGGAGGAAGGGATTAGTTCCAGTGATGGGAGCAGCTCGGTTCTTGCTGGGGGCGGGGTGGAGGGAGATGCCATCAGCGGGACAAGCTCTGGGGGCCAGGCTGGCTGCTGGCCTCGGCGGGCTCACGGGGCGGGGAAGGGGGGGTCGGGCTGCAGGAGGAGGCGCCTGGACCCCGGAGCAGAACCCGGGTAGCGGTCCGCGCCGGGGCGGGCGCTCCGTCAGCACCGGAGTATGCAAAGGAGCATGTGTGTGGCTGGAGGGCTGGCAGTCGGAACAACAATGCGCCCGCGGGGCCGGCTCGGCGGGAGCGGGGCCGGGCCGCGGGGTCGGCGCGCGGCGGCCGCCGGGGCTTACCTTGACTCGGCCTCGAGGCGCGCGCGGGGCCGGCGTGCTCGGGGGCCGGGCGGCGGCGGCGGCGGCGGCGGCGGCGCGAGCGGCTCCCTCCAGTCCCCGCGCGGGCGGCGGCGGCAGCGTCGTCGAGCGGTGCAGACAAAGGAGGGGCGGAGGGAGGAGACGGAGGGTGTGGGAGAGGCGGCTTCACCGGCGCGGGCAGGCGGGCGGCGGCGGCCGCACTCCTCTCGCTCCTCAGTAGCGGGGACCGAGAGAGGGAGCTGTGTCTGAGGAGACGCCAAAATCCCCCTTAGCGCTGCCCGAGGGAGGGGGAGGGGGCACAAGATGGCGGCGACCGGGGGGGCGGGAGTTCAGCTCATGGATCCCGGCAGGCGGCGGAGGGGAGACCGGGCCGGCGGAGGCGGCGGCGGCAACGGGCGGGGGAGGGGGCTGATCCCGCGTCTCCCCTCAGCAGACAATACAAGCGCCTCGGAGCGAGTCCCCGAACCTGCCCTAGCCAAAATGGCGGCCGAGAAAGAGCGGAAGTGACGTAAATACCTCATTAGCATAAGAGGACTCATTGTCCAGCTAAGTAGGGGGGGTAGTGGGGGACAGTACCCCTTACCCCCATGTCCCTCAAGGACAACTCTCTCACTCCCACCTGTGCTTGCACCTAACTTTTTTGGAGGGAGGGTAGCACCAGCACCCCCACCTAAGGGAAATTATATAATCCCCACTGAGGGGGAGCTCTCGCGAGAACCAAGAGGATTTGCCGTTGACCCACTAGGAGGCGCCGCGGATAATGGCCGCAGTGCGCTTCCAGGGCCCGTGTGCACGGCGGGCGCCTTCCTCTGGCCGCAGCGCCGGCGGCGGAGGCACCAGCAGCGGGCCGCAGCACGCCCTGCACTCTGTCAGGTGGCCGTGCTGGGGATCCCTGCGCGGGCCCAGCTGGGCCTGGACTACATCTGGCGGGAGGGGGCGTGCGGGCAGCCCGGCGGCTCCACGTGCTAGGAGGCCTGCGCTCTCACGGGCCGGGCAGCACCGGGAAGGGCAAGGACACCTGGCCAGTCGTGCGTGATGCCTCCTGCCTTATATGAGGTGTGAGGGCCTCGTGCTTCGCACACCGACTGGAGATGAGCCACAAGCCCATGGAGCCCTGGTTCCTTCCCGGTGGGGTGGGTTACTCAGTGGACAGGGGCTGACTTTCTTCCAAGTCGGTGATGGGCTCTTCTCTTTGGCCTGAAGAAAACAAATGCGAACCCTAGCGTTTGGGGGCCACCGGACTGGTGAAGCCTAAAGATGAGCAATGATGTTGCTGATGGGCCTCCACAAGATGCTCAAAAACTACACTTCAACTGTGGTCCCAGGGACACTTTTAGTGTTACCACAATCTGGATAGCACAAGATAGCACATGGACAGTTTGTGCAAATTTAGGTCAATCCCAACCGACACATTATCTCAACATTTGAACCCACCTTTTGGAGTGCATCTGAGAGTATGTCATAGGCTAAACATACTGAAGAGTAATGAATACCATCATGAAGGACCAACCAAGCCTGTTAAGGTGTGCTCTGTAAATGCACTGATCTTTGGCTGTTTCTCTAAATTTCAAGTTAAAATAGTTTCAAACCATACTTAACATCCCAAAAGATTCTGACTTAATTGAAAATAGTACTAGTTGTGGTTACATATAGCTCAGTGAAGACTTCAGTTAGCAGGTTTAAACAAGCCATTTCATCCAACACAGAATTTCATTAGTTTCTGAAATTATGACAAAATATATCTTTAAAAGCCAAATCAGTATTTCAAGGGGAAACGAGAACTGGAAAAGTTAAAAAAAAAAAGGGGGGGGTAGGGAGTGGCACCAAAGCATCTGATTTAGAGAAACAAAGATGAAGAACCTAATTACATGTTACAGAAGACAGGCAAGCTACTATAAAATAAGCAAAATAATTTTATCACAAGTTTAGTTTTCCTTAAATATACTTAGATTTCATACAGTGAGAATACAAATAAATACAAAGGGAAGACATCTGGATTTCATACTTGGCCTAATTTACAAAATAAAAGGAGATGCTAGGTTCACACGTAAATGTTTAAGATTTTAGTGCTTAAATCATCGGATTTACTATAAAAATGCATCTAAATAGTCCAGATTCTTTTCTAAATAACTTCTACATGATGAAAGTCTTCACTGCTCAAATACTTTCTTTACTATCAATTCCAGTAGTGACAGTGTTGTGACTATGGGATTAAGAACCAAAAAGATTAAAAAGGCAAAAGATCACTATCTACTCTAGTAAGGTCTGAAGAAGGCAATACTTAGTGAGTTCTCTGAGGTAGTTACTTAATCTCTGCTCCACATACTTGACAATAAAAACTTTGGGTTTAGATGAAGAAGAAGGGAATCTAAACACTCAACAACAAAAAAAGAGTATTATATTTCTATTACATTAGGTAATTCTATATTAGACAGTGATGAATTTTCTAGTTATTATTAATGATGAAAGAAGTCATTTCCCCCAAGAAGGTGGGTCCCTGGTGTGCTGGCTGGCTACACAGCTCTGTGTAAAAGGGAAACAGAATAGTAGAGGCCCTTACTGGAACGTGTCCTATGGATTCAACTATGGGAGTAGGTAATGTTCAAAATGACACCAAAGGTTTTATAGACTGGTATTTATTTCTGGTAGGATCTGTCAGAAATACAATGGAAAAATCAGATTTTAAATTTCTTTAGCAGCCAAATTAAGCCAGGAAAATATAATTAGGAATACTGTTCAATAAATATGCTTATTAAATAACTTAGAGATGTCTCTGCCTTTTACTTGCAAAGGACAGTCAACTTGATCTTAAGCTTATTTGCTCAAAGTACGCCTTCCCCCAAATTCAAAAGATACCATGTGTTTCATAAGCTATGCTACAGTTAGAAATTTATCTTCTTTGAAACACTTAGGTTAGAGAAGGTAGGTAAACAGAACATTTGTGCTGGCTTTAATGTGCATTTTAACCGGCAGAACACTTACAGCTTAGTAGTAAGATGTTTAAAAATTACTATAGCAGCTAAGTCTTGAAGTCATCAAAATACTGATGCCTTAATGTCATCAGTATTTTTTCTTACTGATAGCAGTTATTGCTCAGGATAGGAAAAAAAGTAGCTATGCAATCAATGAATGTCAAGTTTCCAATTCACAGTACGTATTTTAAATAGACTTGCTTTGACAGATGAAATGCTTCATCAATTCAAGAGCTACAAACAGCCCAACTTTAAATTCATGACCTAAACATACTGTTTTATCTAGTTTAAGAAATTTGCAATACATTTTTAAAGAAGGGGCAGAGGTGTCTACTTCTTCATTCATACAGAAACAGGCATATATATTTCATGAATATAATTAACATTATTCTTACTTCTGACATCTATTACAAAGAGCTATGAATCCAGTTCTTTATATACTTCAAAATCTTTCCCACGTAAGAAATTCTGCACTCATATACTCTAATGAAAGCAATATTTTCTGAAAAAAAAAAAACAAAAACAAAAAACCCAAATACATTTATTTACAAGTCTTAATACAGCAAAATCAAATGGAAATTGAGAACACTGCTCATTTTTCTAATTTAATTTGACATATAAAATGGAGTTTCCTCAGAAAAAAGATTTGTATGAAATTTACCTTACCTTATGATTTATGCTCTAAGAGTACATTTTATAAAAATCAGCAACCAGGCTTCTTTTATGTTTAAATGAAATCAACATAAGTATAATGAACAACTTTCTTTTATGTAGTAGCAAAGAGAGTCAATAATCCTTTCAAGAAAGAGACTATTTCATTTCCTCCCAACTTGGATTCACCGTAAACACGATCCACAAATGATATTGGAACCTGGTTAAAAAAATATACGTTAAGTCAGTCTTCAAAAATATTAGAAAGGAAGCATAGCAAGCATACAATACAGTACAAACAAGATTTGTATTATGATAGTCCTTGAAGTAAGTTCAGAAGTTAGGTGATTCTTATAGCAACTGTACCTCCACATCTTTAAAATTAAACATTTCACTACCTAAATACAGGTCATATGAACCAAATCTACAACCATTTGAAAAGCAATGACCCTGAATATTAAGCTGTTGACCAAAGTTTCAACCTGTTATTTCAAGAAAAAAAATTATACTCCAAAGTAAAATGTCCTTTCACTGAATTTTTTCAGTAGTCCATTAAATTTATCTGTTACTATGTTTTAGTGTTAAGTTAAAAATCTTGACACTTCCACAGGAGACTTGGCATTCTAGTTATTTTCTTGCTATAAGTAAGAACATTAGTGTTAGAGGAAGAGAGCCTAAGAGCTCAACAGCTAGCTGTAAATATTACTGACCACTTCCGCCCCCATAACTCCTGTCTTCTTCATTTACTCATAGGAAATGGCAAATGGATTCATCATTAGAGTGGCTCTTGGTTATGGCAAGAGGAAAGGGAACAAACACACTCATCCCAAACACACTTATATGTCACAGTGCTGAGTGGTCAGAAGAAAGGGCAAGATGCAGAAGGTACCAGTACCTTTTAATTCTTTAAAAGGGAATACTGCCGGGCGCCTGGGTGGCTCAGTTGGTTAAGCGACTGCCTTCGGCTCAGGTCATGACCCTGGAGTCCCAGGAATGAGTCCCGCATTGGGCTCCCTGCTCGGCGGGGAGTCTGCTTCTCCCTGACCTTCCCCCCTCTCATTCTAATAAATAAATAAAAATCTTTAAAAAAAGGGAATACTGCCTTCCATTATTAATGTTTTAAATCCTGGTAGGTCAAATGCAGTTAATTTGAAAGTGAATTTTCACCCTTTAGTGTGTGGACGTTCTAACTAGAAACCTCCCACATTTATTTAGTAGTTGTGCAAGTTAAACTTTTTACTATAAAAAGTCTAAACCTACTGTTTCTTTATGGGGACTACAACATTCTATTTACCATCAGTCTGCCTACCTCGCCAATAGTATAATTCAGCTGTCGTGCCCGAACAATCATCTCCATCTGGAACACATAGCCTTTAGAAACACATTTTTCTATTAATTTCTGTAGAACTTCTTTTCGGTATAACCTGTGAGAAATTAAAATATGTATGAACACCTAGGTAAATACACTTGCCTATATGTATCCTGACCTTTTGAAAGTTCACTGGTATTTATAAAACCTAAAATTTTCACTACACATTTGCATGCAGAAAAACTGTCACAGCTTATGATTATGATACATTTGTCCTGAACTGCAATGGTCACGAAATATTTGGTGAATAATTTAGAATAATTTTGAAAATGAATTCTTAGTATCTTTTAGGGAATTAGTTTCCTACTATACTACCAGAAATTGTAATAGGGTAAAGTGAATCATTTGAAGTAGAACCACTCACTGTTTTAAGTTTTTAAATTTTCTTAAAATTTATTTTTAAAGTTGAACGAAGAGAAACCGTTCCAAATATTGCAACAAGAGAGTTGACAGATGATGAATAATCAACAATATACAGTAGATGACAAGAGCAAACCCGGTAATTAACAGGTGTTTCCTCATAAATGTCTGAGCAGTTTCTATTTCCCAAGATGTACTAAGTAAATTTCCTGAGATAAACGAAGTCCCTTTAGGAGACTTAAGAGGGTGCTCCTGAAGAAAGTGACTTCCCAGCTCCTCTCTTACTTTGTAAATCTGATGTGCTCTGTGTTTGGCCTGCACAACTGCCCATTACAGGTGTCTAACTGTGACCTCAACTGGTGATAGCTGTAGCCTACCAGGACTGCCTCAATCCTGCAATGCCTAGGTTCCTGTCTTAACCTTGTGTGTCAATCTAACAAAAGACCAAAGAATTAACATTATTTAATGGAAAAAAGCAAATATCAACTAATGTAAATTATCAACTAATGCATGAAGTTTGGACCTTAAAGTAGATGAACAGGCATCTTATAGTTTCAGAGATTAAAGAAAATGTGGCAGTCTTTAGTCATTTGGCATGGTCATACAAAACAGTTCATCTTCTACGGCCAAGTCTAAAATTAAAAATAACCCACACCCCCAAAACAAACAAAAATTACCCTTCCCCCAACCTGAAGGAGGCTTTGTTCCAATTAAACAAGAATTTTTTTTTTTTTAATTAAAAACATGGAGATCAAGGCAACTGAAAACAACCTAAACATTAACTATTTTAAGCTCTTCTGTGGACAGTGCTATAAATATTCATATGAATTGCAGAAAATTGCTGGAAGAGGTGCTGTTCTTTGGAGCCTATTACCAGTGATAGCAATGTTCTGAATAAGAAGTGAGCAGCCACCTTGGCCCCCTGAGGCCCCCACTAAGGGCTGAGCACCAATGTGAATGTTAACAAGCAAACTAACCTAAGCCCTACCTTTGATGCTCTTTACAAAGTACATTTTTCCTTAAGAAGATGCTCAAGCCTCATTAGCAACTTCTAAGGAACTTCAGTCTATCTTTGTGTGTTCCGGAACAAAAAAGCGGTAGAACTGAAAAGCATTTCTTAAAAATAAGCCATTGTATACCAAGAAATTTAGGCAAGAAGTTGTAAATAATAGAAAATACAAAATTACAGTTTTTACTGTACCTGAAACTTCCTGTTAAATCAGATGCTCCTGGTCTGAGCAAAATCTGAGTTATAAAATTGGCCCCGCGGCTGTTTAAATAAAACAATTAGATTTTCTTTATATAATACATTTTCTAAACAAGAGAAACACATCCCAGATCAGAGTGCTCAAACTGTTACACTAATTTCATATATGCAACACTATTTCACAAAAATGTCAATTTTACAGAAATTTTAGTAAAAGATCTGATATTCTCATTTTTGAGGAAATGGGGTCTTTTATTCTTCGAATGTGACATTTAGAGGGGACCTATAAAACAATCATTCTTCTAAGCTTTAAGTAAGAAAGGCTAACGGATTTTTAATTCAACTTGTGTATTTGCCACCAGTCCTCATTTAGAATTATGAACATCTCTCAGACAGCAAAAGGGATCAGGGATTTGGAGTTTCCTTTCCAGATTCTAATAAGCACAAGGGATCACAGGTTTCAATTAGGCAACAGGTCAGTCTGCATAAAAATGGCATTTTTTTTAAAAAGAATGTATGCAAGTGGGCAAGGGTTTTGGTTTTTGGCAATCTCTGGAAATTGAACAAAGGTTCATTCCAAAACTGTTTCAATCTACTTGGGCCGCTATAACGAAATACCACAGACTATGTGGCTTAAACAACAGATACTTATTTCTCCCAGTTCTGAAGGCTGGGAAGTCCAAGATCAAGGTGCAGCAGACTTAGTTCCTGGTGAGAACCCTCTTCTTGGCTTACAGAGGGCTGCCTTCCTGCTGTGTGCTCTCACAGGGGAGGAGGGCAACAGAAGCCAAGCTCTCTGGTCTCTTCTGGAAAGGGCACTAATCCCACCATAAGTGCCCCATGGTCACTAAATTTAATTACCTCCCAAAGGCCCCACCTCCAAATACCAACACTTTGAGGGTAAGGTATTTTAACACATAAATTTTAGCAGAGACATCCAGTCCGTAACAATGACAGGGTATGTGCTTCAAACACAACAAAGTATCAATTTCAAGCTATTACTAATAGCTACGATTAAACATTTCAAAAAGATCTGAAGTGCCCTTGGAAAAAGTGACTTTTGTATTGCAGCTATTTTAGTGGGCTCCGATTCAGAAAAAAAAGTTTTCTGGGGCAGACTGGAAAGAACAGTTTCTCTCCTAAACCAAGGTAACCACCAAGGCCCTCCCTAAGAAAGATTATTTTTATACAATTAACATGGTTAGGGATATAGCTGGGATAATAGCTAACGAAAACATTCTCCCTTTCAAATTGCTTCCAATAACAAAGTAATTCTAGGACATAGTTTACCTCTCAAAATGGGTTTAATCAAAAGGAAAGTGACCGTATATGTATATACGTGTATGTATATGTATATTATTTGTACCTCTAATCAAGTGAATATATTTCTAAATTGGGGTTTTTATTTTTTTTTTAAAGATTTTATTTTATTTATTTGAGAGAGAGAGAGAGAGAGACCGCATGCGTGTGTGCGCACAAGAGGGGGTAGAGTCAGAGGGAGAAGCAGGCTTCCCGCTGAGCAGGGAGCCTTGATGCAGGACTCGATCCTGGGACTCTGGGATCATGACCCGAGCCGAAGGCAGTCGCCTAACCAAACTGAGCCACCCAGGTGCCCTAAATTGGGGTTTTTAAATTAAAATGCAGCAAGAGGCAGATGGGCTTGGACTGAAATTCTAGTTCATACAAATGAGTCCGTGGGCAAGTGATTACATAATCTTTCTCAGGAGTATATATATACTCTGAATCAGTGCAGACATTAACAACTAATGACACACACAACTCAATACAACTTAACGATCCAACTAAAAGTTGTAAAAGGTCTCTGATTGGGACTCCCTGATTTTAAAATAAGAGCTGTGATGACCAAATTCAGAGGGCCTGAGAGATCACTCACTTGTTCTCAACACTGGCTGCACAATAGAATCATTTGGAGAGCCTGTGAAAAATACTGATGGTTTTGCCCCACCAGTGGAGATCCATTCGCATGGTCTACAGTGTGTGTGCACGCACACACAAAGAAAGGGAAAACGATAGGGAACAGTAATGTATGATTTTCTCTTTAAATGATTCCAATATTCAGCAGAATTAAAAACCACTGTTTTATCCAACCCCTTCATTTCACTGAAGATTGAGGCTCTTACAGGTCTTAAATGACTTGCCCAAGGTTCCACAGTTAAGAGGCAGAACTGTGATTAACTTAACAGAATCTTCAACAGGAATGAAAAGGGTAATAAAAAACACTAATATTATTAAGAATATGTATAAAGGCATGCTATTATATATTAAGTAGTAAGCTACATAGATCCCTTAAAGATCTCATCTTCTCAACCACCACAAAAAGGTGACATAGATTAAATATGGTCAGAAATTCTTTGTGGGTCTTCCCATCAAGAAGTGGATTCTCCTTTCCCATCCCTAGATTATGGGCTTGCTGTGTGTGTGTGTGTGTGTGTGTGTACTACTCAGTCCCAAGATGTAGATGAATAGTTCACTTAAAGCTGAAGGTACAGTAGAATAAATTTTGCTGAATTAGACCATTTCTAACAAAGGTTCAAAGGTTTATGCTGAGGGCGCCTGGGTGGCTCAGTTGGTTAAGCGACTGCCTTCGGCTCAGGTCATGATCCTGGAGTCC